CCGGGTACAAAATATTTGTAATAAAGCCATATACAATTTGAGTTTCAATGTAGAGCCTACATTTTGTTTAATTTGAGCACAAACATTTCATTGGTTAAACAAACACAAAATGAATAGGCATCAGTAAATAAAGTATTGACGTAAATACTGCCTAATGACTCAAGTTTAAACTGCATGACCGTTTTATATTTTTAATAAAACTAATTTCTTCTAATTCTTCTAATAGATTTCCCTGAATTTGTGACAATTGGGTATCACTCATAGACCTGTGCTAAATGCGTGAACAATTTATGATCACGCATGTTTCTGCAAAATGCGTGTTTAAACCAAAATCACTTTGAATTGCGGGATCGTCCCACACGATGCGAGACGGTTGGTAAATGTTTTTTTTTTCTTTCCAGCTTTTATGGGGCCCCAGGTTGGCTCGACACCCACCTCCTTTGAATTCACCAGGGGTCTATAGCACCTCAGCCCCACCATGGTTGAAAATCTATCATAAGTGGCCGGAAATAGCACTAAAGATTTAATTAAACAAATATAGAAAATTATTGTGAAACCTACAGATAGAGAGATGAGTTTTGTACATGGGCGTTATTGACACGAAAGCGGCAGGGAAAATCACTCAAATCAAATTCCTCATCAAAAAGCTTATAAATACAGTTAAGTCCTTGCTTGTACGAAAATTTCGAGGCAGTCCTGTTGGAAACTACTGTGATTGGTCAAGGAGTTTTGGTGGATGGATTTCTGGAACGTGTGAGAATGTGTCTTGAATTTTCTACCCCTGAAAATGTGGACCTTTGGTGCGTCACCTGTTGCACCCCCTCCTCCATGTGTACGGGCCTGTTAAAGTGGCATTTATCAACCTGCAGAGGACTCTTGTGATCTGAAGGTGTAATGGAATACAAAACAACCGGAAAATGGTGGAGTAAAAAATATCGTCCGAAAAAAGGTATGAGCTACAGCTCATGGTTTGCGGGGTGGAGGTTTTGGGGGATGCAGGGTCGGGGTTGATAGAAATGTGGGCCCTTTTGGGAGACTCCTCGTTGGGGAATTTCTGGTGCTGACATTCTTTTTAACCAACTGCGGCGGAAGCGGGGGCCAGAGGGCCATTGGCCCATCCACTTTTTCTACTGGATACCTTCCTACCCCTACCCCCTCCCCCCTCTCTCTTTCTCCACCACCCACCACTTTTGTGACTGTTGCCAGTACCAATGACAAACATTTCACGAATGCTATGCAATGTCATTATTACGATGAGAGTTTGCGTTAGGAAAATATCATAAGAGTGATGTTTTGCCCTATCTGACGTGTTATCGTACCGAATAGGGCCTACCCAGTACGTCCACAAACACTAGCGAAGAAAATTTGCAAGTGATTCAGGTGAGAATCGAACCGGCGATCTCCAGGTATCTAGCCTGATGTCTTAACCACCAGACCACCGAGCTTGCGCTTGGTGACTAGTCTTGAATCCGATCGAATAATAACAGTGGGTACTGCAAATGCTATTACGATGTGAGTTTGCGTCAGGAAAATATCATATAACACGTCGTCTTTTGGAACCTAAGCAACAATATCTAATTGAAGGGGGCGTGGCTTAACGGAAACTACAAAATTAGAAAAATTTAAAGAGAAATACAATTTACAATGTAAACAACGGATATTTACTTAAAAGATTATATGAAAACGGCCAAAAATGATTTTTACTAGTGTTTTCTTTTATATAACTGTACTGAAACTGATGAACTAAGAAACAGTGTTACATTTTAACTTTTGAATTTGGTGCCTGAGCGAGGGTGGATTTGGGATGGGGTGTCTCCCTCCCTACCTAAGAAAGAAATGAAAAATAATTATTGTAAGATGCCATTTAAAAGTGTTGAATTTTAAGTTTTGAATTGTGTTGCAATGTTTGATTTTAGAATGTATTAAACACTATTTTAAAGTAAAAATCCAACAGTCAAACACTTTTGTAAATATATAAATGGATAGCACACCATGCACTGTTTGTACTGTAATTATTTTCACAGTGTTTCTTTTGAAACTATAACAAATACTATAACTATTCAATTGCAGTTCAGCAATCTGATTCTATCTACTAACTAGTTTTCTTACTTTCATCTACATAACAGCTAATGCTGTCTTTTCTTCATGCAGGCATTTTTAATTACCTTTGCAAATGTAAAAAAGATGAATAAATTATAAAAAATCTTCTATTTATAACCCTAAAGGCAAAATACAATGAGATACAAAATTGGTAATCAAAAGCTAAAATCTAAACGTAAAAGTAAAACAGCCAGCGAGATAAATGCCTAGCTTTTTGAGACAGAACACTGTCCTTCGTTAAAGCTAACTTAAATGTTTTATTAATATCTAAACTTGGTATTAATATACAACGTAATGATAATCTACATTTTGCGAAATTAGCATCGGCATTCTTCAATTTGCCAAGGTGCCCGAAGCTAACGACGGCACTAATTTGCAGAGGTCCTTTTGTTGTCAGACAAGCTTAGAATGTAGCCTAAATTAACGGTGAATGAAAATCATATCTTCTCCAAGCTTTTAATTGTTTAGTCATGTTAAAGTACATTAAGCAAACATACATTTGGAAAAACAAATAAATTTTTCTTGTTTAAAAGTTACTGAACAATCGTGTCGGGATCGTGTGTTGTTCAATAATGGCTTTTTAAAGAAAAGAAATTCTTGTTTTAACAAGTACTTGATTGGTCAAGAAATATGATTTACGACATTAGATTCCGTATTTAAAATGTAAAGTATTGGTTCTTAGGGCTTGGCAAGGACCAGCCCATGATGAGCCTAGGTTTCATGCCACTATTTTATTTTTACCTCCGTTCTAATAGCCGGCGCAAAAATCATAATAGACGGAGATTGCGCCGACCGCCGGCTTAAAATATCACCCCTGATTAATATAAAACTTCATTTAGGCCTATTCACGAAGTACAAATCAACAAATATAATGCTGTTTTTTTTATTATGATCATTAGATACCTTATTTACAATTAACAAATTACACAGTACGGTACATAATAAACAATAGTTAAACGCTTAAATTAAATAATATAGATGCGAAACATATAGTACGCGAAAGTCAAAAATTTTTGTAATATTTTAATGAAAATAATCTATACCTAACAATGGCAAAATAAATTATGGAAATGAAGAAAATCCACTCCGCAATAGTAAACTGTAAATTACGAAAAATAATTGTAAAATAATAATAAAACAAGACAAGAAAACATTAAATTGATTTACACAATGTTCATACTATCATACTTTGTTTTCATTATTAATACAAATGCGGTTCTTGAAAATACTTAAATTGATAGAAGATATCAAATCAAATAATCTATACCTAACAATGGCAAAATAAATTATGGAAATGAAGAAAATCCACTCCGCAATAGTAAACTGTAAATTACGAAAAATAATTGTAAAATAATAATAAAACAAGACAAGAAAACATTAAATTGATTTACACAATGTTCATACTATCATACTTTGTTTTCATTATTAATACAAATGCGGTTCTTGAAAATACTTAAATTGATAGAAGACTGCATTAGAGCTTAATCTATTCCATTCGATAGTACTATGATATAAAATACTTTTTTTAAATTAGTCTCATGCGTTCAGTTTGCCTTGATTCCGTCCGAAATAGGGTACACAGCTAGTATATAT